TAGAGGACTCTCAGCCATGCTAGCACATGCAATGACAGTACCAACATTGTTTAAGAAGAATGACAGTAAACTAGCAGAGGCTATGATTTTTTTAAAGAATGACAGTAAACTAGCAGATGAATAACAGTACCCACATTGTTTAAGAAGAATGACAGTAAACTAGCAGATGCTATGACAGTACCAACATTGTTTAAGAAGAATGACGGTAAACTAGCAGATGCTATGACAGTACCAACATTGTTAAAGATAAATGACAGTAAACTAGCAGATGCTATGACAGTACCAACATTGTTTATGAAGAATGACAGTAAACTAGCAGATGCTTTGACGGTAACAACACCTGTCTGTTGTATAGGAGGAGACCAAGCAGGCACAGTTCCTGGCTTTGGCCATCGTCTACTTCTGTTCGGTTCTCATGGTGTCCAAGTACCGAGACATCCTGGAGCCACCTTCGCCGTCAGTGACTCCCACAGCCGCAGCCACGCCTGGCAGCAAGGAAGGCTCAGGTGTGTATTGATAGATAGGCTCATTCATTTGCCACCTCTCTTAGAACTTGTCTCTACAACAAGTAACTGATCAACATATCATCTATCAGCCACCTGTCAGACTGTCATAAAACATGTCCCATATAACAAGTAACTGATCAACATATCATCTATCAGCCACCTGTCGGACTGTAATAAAACATGTCCCATATAACAAGTAACTGATCAACATATCGTCTATCAGCCACCTGTCAGACTGTCATAAAACATGTCCGATATAACAAGTAACTGATCAACATATCATCTATCAGCCACCTGTCAGACTGTCATAAAACATGTCCCATATAAGAAGTAACTGATCAACATATCATCTATCAGCCAACTGTCAGACTGTCATAAAACATGTCCGATATAACATGTAACTGATCAACATATCATCTATCAGCCAACTGTGGGACTGTCATAAAACATGTCCCATATAACAAGTAACTAATCAACATATCATCTATCAGCCACCTGCCAGACTGTCATAAAACATGTCCCATATAACAAGTAACTGATTAACATATCATCTATCAGCCACCTGTCAGACTGTCATAAAATATGTCCCATATAACAAGTAACTGATTAACATATAGGTTTGTGCATTTGTCACTTATCATAAAACCTGTGTGTGCAACAGGTAACCGATTAACTTATAGTTTCATCCATTCTTCATTTTTAAAGAACCTGTCTGTACAACAAGTAACTCATTAACATATAAGTTCATCTTTTCGTCACTTGTCACAGAAGCTGTCTGTACAACAAGTAACTGATCAACCTATAGTTTCCTTCATTCGTCACTTGTCATAGAACCTGTCTCTGCAACAAGTAACCAATTAACACATAGGTTCATGTATTTGTCACTTGTCATAGACACTGTGCAACATGTAACCAATTAACACATAGGTTCATGTATTTGTCACTTGTCATAGACACTCTGCAACATGTAACCAATTAACACATAGGTTCATGTATTTGTCACTTGTCATAGACACTCTGCAACATGTAACCAATTAACACATAGGTTCATGTATTTGTCACTTGTCATAGACACTGTGCAACATGTAACCAATTAACACATAGGTTCATGTATTTGTCACTTGTCATAGACACTCTGCAACATGTAACCAATTAACACATAGGTTCATGTATTTGTCACTTGTCATAGACACTCTGCAACATGTAACCAATTAACACATAGGTTCATGTATTTGTCACTTGTCATAGACACTGTGCAACATGTAACCAATTAACACATAGGTTCATGTATTTGTCACTTGTCATAGACACTGTGCAACATGTAACCAATTAACACATAGGTTCATGTATTTGTCACTTGTCATAGACACTGTGCAACATGTAACCAATTAACACATAGGTTCATGTATTTGTCACTTGTCATAGACACTGTGCAACATGTAACCAATTAACACATAGGTTCATGTATTTGTCACTTGTCATAGACACTGTGCAACATGTAACCAATTAACACATAGGTTCATGTATTTGTCACTTGTCATAGACACTCTGCAACATGTAACCAATTAACACATAGGTTCATGTATTTGTCACTTGTCATAGACACTCTGCAACATGTAACCAATTAACACATAGGTTCATGTATTTGTCACTTGTCATAGACACTCTGCAACATGTAACCAATTAACACATAGGTTCATGTATTCGTCACTTGTCATAGAACCTGTCTCTGCAACATGTAACCAATTAACACATAGGTTCATGTATTTGTCACTTGTCATAGACACTGTGCAACATGTAACCAATTAACACATAGGTTCATGTATTTGTCACTTGTCATAGACACTCTGCAACATGTAACCAATTAACGCATAGGTTCATGTATTTGTCACTTGTCATAGACACTGTGCAACATGTAACCAATTAACACATAGGTTCATGTATTTGTCACTTGTCATAGACACTCTGCAACATGTAACCAATTAACACATAGGTTCATGTATTTGTCACTTGTCATAGACACTCTGCAACATGTAACCAATTAACACATAGGTTCATGTATTTGTCACTTGTCATAGACACTGTGCAACATGTAACCAATTAACACATAGGTTCATGTATTTGTCACTTGTCATAGACACTCTGCAACATGTAACCAATTAACACATAGGTTCATGTATTTGTCACTTGTCATAGACACTGTGCAACATGTAACCAATTAACACATAGGTTCATGTATTTGTCACTTGTCATAGACACTCTGCAACATGTAACCAATTAACACATAGGTTCATGTATTTGTCACTTGTCATAGACACTGTGCAACATGTAACCAATTAACACATAGGTTCATGTATTTGTCACTTGTCATAGACACTCTGCAACATGTAACCAATTAACACATAGGTTCATGTATTTGTCACTTGTCATAGACACTGTGCAACATGTAACCAATTAACACATAGGTTCATGTATTTGTCACTTGTCATAGACACTGTGCAACATGTAACCAATTAACACATAGGTTCATGTATTTGTCACTTGTCATAGACACTGTGCAACATGTAACCAATTAACACATAGGTTCATGTATTTGTCACTTGTCATAGACACTGTGCAACATGTAACCAATTAACACATAGGTTCATGTATTTGTCACTTGTCATAGACACTGTGCAACATGTAACCAATTAACACATAGGTTCATGTATTTGTCACTTGTCATAGACACTGTGCAACATGTAACCAATTAACACATAGGTTCATGTATTTGTCACTTGTCATAGACACTGTGCAACATGTAACCAATTAACACATAGGTTCATGTATTTGTCACTTGTCATAGCCACTGTGCAACATGTAACCAATTAACACATAGGTTCATGTATTTGTCACTTGTCATAGACACTGTGCAACATGTAACCAATTAACACATAGGTTCATGTATTTGTCACTTGTCATAGACACTGTGCAACATGTAACCAATTAACACATAGGTTCATGTATTTGTCACTTGTCATAGACACTGTGCAACATGTAACCAATTAACACATAGGTTCATGTATTTGTCACTTGTCATAGACACTGTGCAACATGTAACCAATTAACACATAGGTTCATGTATTTGTCACTTGTCATAGACACTGTGCAACATGTAACCAATTAACACATAGGTTCATGTATTTGTCACTTGTCATAGACACTCTGCAATATGTAACCAATTAACACATAGGTTCATGTATTTGTCACTTGTCATAGACACTGTGCAACAAGTAACCAATTAACACATAGATTCATGTATTTGTCACTTGTCATAGACACTGTGCAACATGTAACCAATTAACACTGTAATGTGCTCATCTAGGGGTATGTGTTGTTTACATTGCTTTCAGACGAACAGTGAGTTGAAACGACACAGCATGAACGAATATTGAGTTCTTTGCTTTTATTCGTTGAATCGCCAGTTCTCGCAAACATACATTCATGCTTCCTCGTGCTCGACTTGCTTGGCTGAATCTAGCGACCTGGACGGACTTCCCACACACTACAGGAATTTATCAGCGCCTCTCGAACCATCCATCTATACTTCATGGACTCTGATATCTGACATTACGACGTATGGAAAAACATTCAGTCCTCCTATTGAAATATAACGTTCACTTCACAAATCATTTATTCTTCTCAGGCGTTCATTCACGCGTCCTCTTTCAGTCAGGGCCGAACTTCAACTGTCTTACTTCAGTCTCTCGGTTCACGTCTTCCGTTCACGTCTCATGCTTTTCTTGTGTCTCTTACTTCGTTTACCATGAGACACACGAGACTCACTTCTCCCGTTTTTCTCTTCTCTCACGGGTCCTCCGACCTTTTTCTCCCCATCGGGAACTCTCTGGGGTTTTCCCGGGAATTCACACCATTACAATCTCCCCCTCCCTTCTAGTAAAAAAAATTTTAACCTTAAATTTTTTTTTCTATTACTTTATCTTTAGGTTATAATTTTAAAGGTTTGGGGATACTTTAATGTAATGATGTGGATTACCTAATAATCATTTTGGGTTTTAATGGTTACTTCCCTTTTGATAGGTTTTACATTATTTCCCTTTGTCACATTACCAGTTATAAGTACCAATAAGTACCAAGTGGCTTAATGGGAATCAACCATTCAGGCACTCTCTTCCAAGTGCGGTAGTCCATATAGGCTCTGCGTATTAACCCCATGCCATCCCACAGTCTGTATAAAACAGAACAACAATTCTGGTACTCTCTTTCAAGTACTGAAGTCCATATCGGCTATGGAACAGAAATGTAGAAAACCCGCAAAGTCCCACCCTCACCGTTTGACTCATGGCTACTGTCACTGGTTTACGTTTCAATTAGAAACATATGTTTCCCTATTTAGGATTTCGAACTCAATCCCTTGGATTATGTGGTGTAAATTACCCATTACTTTTCCGAAAAAGTATTATTATTCCCTTTCTATATCATAGTAATTACCCT